ACTTACCATGTTTGTGAAATAGCAAGAAGGCCAATGTGGCCAGAATGACCACAGAGGGTGAAGTGGAAGAGGATGATGTGGGAGAGGTAACAGGGGTGTGGGGACATGGGTTGCCAGCAGACAGGACCTTTAATTCTGAATGAAATGGGAAAAGTGACCTGGCCCGGTACACATATACAGTCATGTGCCATGCAATGATGTTTTGATCAAAAAGGGAACACGTATATGATAGAGGTCCTGTAAGATTATAATGGAGTTGAAAAATTCTTATCACCTAGTAACCATAGTTGCCATGATGTTGTAGCACAACACACGACTCTGTGTTTGTGGTGATGCCATTGTAGACAAACCTACCACACTGCCAGTCACATAAGAGTACAACATATACGATTATGCATTTCGGGGATGAAAATGAGTAACTATGTATCTACTATATCAAGCTTCTTATCGTTATTTTATCTATATAGTAGAGTGTATACTTTACTCATTAAAAATAGAATATAACAGCTCCAAGTATTACTGCCCCTGAAGACCTTCCAGCGGGACCAGATGTGGAGATGGAAGACAGTGACACTGATGATCCTGACTCTGTGCAGGTCTAGGCTAATATGTGTGTTTGTGTCTTAGTATTTAATGAAGTATAAAAAAATGAAAAAATCAAAAATAGAAAAAAGCTTACAGAATAAGCATATAATAATATTTTGGTATAGCTCTACAATGTTTGTGTTTTAAGCTAAGTGTTATTACAAAAGAGTCAAAAGTTAAAGTTTACAAAATAAAGTTATGGTTAGCTAAGGTTAGTTTACTACTGAAGAAAAAATGTTCTTAAAATTTGCATAGCCTAGGGCTACAGCATCTATAAAGTCTACAGCAGTACACAGAGTGCTAGGCCTTAATGTTCACTCAGCATACAGCCACGGACGCACTCAGATCAACTTCCAGTCCTCCAAGCTCCATAGCGAGTGCCCAATACAACAGGTGCACCATTTTTATGGACTGCCATTGCCTGATGCCACCTTTATGAGATGGCCAGAGTATTGGTTCATCTACTACCCCACTTAACATGTCCAGCCTAGATAGCCATCCTGATAAAACGGTAGAGGAGGCATTGTGGGAGATGGCTTTCTGGGAAAAGTGGTACCCACAAATTAAGCTATAGACAGTGATTGGAGACAGAATCCCAGCCTCATGCCAGCAGTTGTGTATTGTGTATTACAAAGGTCTGTTGTATATCATGCACTTGGTGGTGGATGTTGGGCAGCATCTAAGACTGAACTTATACATCAATGTTGCTTTAACATAGTAGTCTGAAAGTCTTTAAAAACATATCCCTCAAGGGAAAATGTTATAGCTTATTAATGAAGAAAAAGTAGAATTATTCCTAGTCTATCTTACATAAATCATCTCATCTTCAGCCAAGCACTTCTAAAATGCTTTTTCCTTAATAATACATTTATTAAAGTTTTCATGTGTTTTTTATGTAAAAAGTTTAAATAGATACACAAAGGAGTAGTGTATGCATACCATGGAATATTATTTAGCCATAAAAAGATGGAGACTTTGCATCTTTTGTATTTACCTGAATAGATTTGGAGCACACTGTCCTAAGTATCTTAAGAATAGAAAAGCAAGCATCCCAGGTACAGAGCTCTAACCCAAAGCTAGCAGATCAGCAACTACAGACCCACACGAGAGAAAAACACAATTACATTTAAGAAGGGAGAAGGCTCGCTACGTTCCCACCTATTGGATACAATGTAGGGGTATATGGGACACTTTCTGGGGGAAGCATTCAATTCCAACTCAGGCTTTAGACTCTATCATAGAAAGGTAACCTAATTGTAAGTACCCTCTTATTAGCCTGAAATTAAAAATAAAGGAAAATGAAAACAGAATGTTAGATTAATCTAAGACTCATAAGCAGTGACAGTAGAGGTTTTTTCAGTAATTATTTGGCATCCTGCAAGAGGTACATAAATTATGTCTTGATTTCCCTTTAGGAAATAGCAGAGCTCCTATTTAATCTTTAGCTTTTCAGTTAGAAGCTTCAACAACAACAAAAAAAGGCTGCTGATCATAGTGTCATGCAAACGTCTATATCAAAACACTAAAGTAATTCTATTATTGCTTAGATTTCCCTACAGGATATTCTAGTCATTATAGAAGTCATTCCTTAATTTGTTGTGGTCACCAAGGACAACGTGATTCTTACAGTTGTGTTTGTTATTTCACTGCTTGACAACAAATTGTATTTGCTGTTTTATTGTCTCAGAGTAAAAATACATTAATTGGTTATCTATCATCTGTTGGAAATTGGCTATAAGAAAATGCAGGATTATTAAATCATTATGAAAATCTTATTGGTTAATCAAGTTTATGCTTTTTGTAGCAGACACTGCCACCCCCATTCTCCTACCTGGAGAACCCCATATTGACTGGTTTGTCTAGTCTTCCCCTTTGAAATCTGAGTGACTTGGGGGAAAGTTGACCCCACCTCTAGCTCATAGGATGAAGTCTGATTAATAGAAACTAATCAAAGTCTAGTTGTCTGTCAGTATCTGTGGGGGACTGGTCTCAGGACCTCTCACAGATATCAACATCCACTGATGCTCACGTCGCTGATATAAAATGGTGCAGCAGTTGGATATCTCCTATATACATCCTCTTATATGCTTTAAATAATTTCTACATTACTTATAATACCTAATAAAATGTACATACTATGTAAGTAATTTTTATACTGTCTTGTTTAGGTAATCATAACAAGAAAAAGTCTGTATATGTTAAGTACAGATGTAATTTTCCTCCCATATTTCTTTTTTGTTGTTGAGACAGAGTCTTACTTGCTTACCCTCAGTAGAGTGCCATGGGGTCCTAACTCATAGCAATCTCAAACTCTTGGGCTTAAGCAATCCTCCTGTCTCAGCCTCTCAAGTAGCTGGGACTACAGGCACCTGCCACAACACCCAGCTATTTTTTAGAGACGAGGTCTTGCTCTGGCTCAGGCTGGTTTTGAACCTGTTAGCTCAGGCAATGCATGCACCTTGGCCTCCCAAGTGCTGGGATTATAGGTGTGAACCACCGCACCTGGCTATCCCACATATTTCTTTCTTTCTTTTTTTTTTTTTGTTATTTTTCCTTTTATTAAGTCATATATGCATAGATCATGAATACATTTATGCCTTTGTGGGATTCAATGTGTTGATTTTTTGTACAAATTGGAGTGCTTACTTCCAACTAATCAACATAGCTTTCACCTCATTTACCTAATCACTGTGTTAAGACATTTGTGTTCTATACTTGATAGACTTGATCTGTACCCTTGCAATATACTCCCTAGGTGTGGTCCCACCGTTTACCCTCCCTCTATCAACCACCACCCTTCCCTTCTCTCCTTTATCCTGAGCTATAGTTGTGATTCATTTTTCATATGAAAGTGTGAGTGATTATAAATTGGTTTCATAGTAGTACTGAGTACATTGGGTATATTTTTTTCCATTCCTGAGATACTTTACTAAGAAGAATATTTTCCAGCTCCATCCATGTAAACATAAAAGAGGTAAAGTCTCCATCTTTTTTAAGGCCACATAATACTCCATGGTATACATACACTACAATTTATTAATCCATTCATGGGTCGATGGGCACTTCTCTGATTCCTAGTTGGATGAAATCCATGGATGCCAAACCCAGGGTTACAAAGGTCCAACCGTCCTATCATCCCTGTGGCCAGAGATTGGTTTAATTGTTCAGGATTATGCTAGTCAGGACTTGATAGGCTCTTCAGCTAAATGGAACTAATTGGTGGAGAGGAATTTTTTTTCTTTTTTGAGACAAGAGTCTTATGTCACTCTCGGTAGAGTGCCATGGCATCACTGCTCACAGCTACCTCCAACTCTTGGGCTTAAGTGATTCTCTTACCTCATCCTTCTAAGTAGCTAGGACTACAGGTGCCCACCACAATGCCTGGCTATTTTTTTGTTGCAGTTGTCATTGTTATTTAGCTGTCTTGGGCTGAGTTCAAACCCGCCAGCCTGTGGCTGGCACAGTAACCACTGTGCTATGGCCACCAAGGCAAGTGCAGAGGAATTTTATTCCATAGTAAAGGAAGAAATCCTCTCTGTGTGTCTCTTTCTCTGATTCTCTTTCTATTTCACGCAAAGTAAGGGCAAAAAAATGTGTTGCCCAAGTTACTATATGTGCACATCTCATGGAAAGAAACCAATTTTAGGACAAAGCTGACCTATCAGAAACACCCTGTCCCTACCTGCCTGGAGCCCTCCCTACCTTCTCTTCTACTCTTTTAAGAAATAAAACATTTCATTATGGCTTAAGCCAGTTTTATTTGGTGTTTCTGCAGCTTAATCAGGAAACACTCAAGTCCTAACTCAATCATATGACCTGTAATGAGGAATCCAGATACTCTCTATATACAAATTATTATCATCATCATTATAATTTAGAGACAGGATCTCACTCTGTTGCCCAGGCTGCAGTGCCTTGGCATGATCATAGCTTGAACTCCTGGGCTCACGCAGTCTTTCTGCCTCAGCCTCCTGAGTAACTAGAACTATAGGCATGTACCAACATACCCAGATAATTTTTCATGTACTTCTTAGAGAAATGAAAAATGTACTTCATAGAGAAGAAAGAGATCTCCCTATGTTGCCCAGACTGGTCTCAAACTCCTGGCCTCAAGTGATCTTCCTACCTTGGCCTCCTAAAGTGCTGGAATTACGTGTATGAGCCACCATGACTGGCCACAATTGTTTCCAATTTAATTTCCTTAAGTTCTCTCAGGGAAGGATAAGCCACTTCAGGACCCAATCATGCCCTTATCCTATCTTTTGACAATTATAAGCATTTGTTCATCTACCTTTGTTGGTCTAAATAGATTTTCTAAGCACTTTGATCAGAAGTCATCGTCAGTCTTGACAGATCAAATTCCTTGAGGAACCAACATACCCAGACTTGAAATTGAGCCAAATGACATTACCTACCTTGGGCATGCAGATAACCAAATGTCCTGTTGTCTGAGATCTTTTAGCAAAGCTGCTATCAGGTTTGACTTCTGCAGGAAGGACAAGCTGAAATGGCTGAAAATAAGCAGGAGGTGTCATCAAGACTAGGACCGTTACAGGAGAAGGTTATTGCAAGAAGTGTTTTCATTATAAATTCAGGATAAACCATTCAGTTAAGAGATGTGTTTAGATGTCAGGGAAAAAGTAATACATGAGCTACGCCTGATATCCATAACTATTTTTACCAGTTTTAACAAATAATCTAACAGTTATCAATAATAAACAATGAAACACTTATGGGTCCATTTATGGCTAAACAGTAATTTATAAATAAAACTTATTATAAAACATCAACATATCTTCCCTAAGTCTTCAAGCTAATGCACATGAATCAGCAAAAGTTCTGTTTCAAAAATGATAAAATTATAGTTGCTAGGAAGGAAATTATTGACAATTTAGAGTAAGTATACTCCATGAATGGGCTGTCACCCATGTTATTGGCTTTGAAAAAAGTACAGCACAATGGACACAGGTTTAACATATTCTGTCAAGCTACATGATGGCCAGCAGCCATGTTCCCTGTATACCATTCCATGGAATAAAACCATGTGCCTAAAAAACAGCACTCTGATTGGGTTTCTTTTTCTATTTTCATAATACTGTAAAAAAAAAAAAATTAAGACAACATAGCTTACTTAATTCAAGGATTAGCTTTGAAAATTGAAATAGCCTACAGGGTCACTACGTTACCTTGCCTTTGACCATTACTCGCACGTAAGTCGGCTGTACATCAACATCAATTAAAGAGGTATCCATGTACCTGCGAAATTAAACACAATCTTACCATTTTCGACATTATGTTTAAAGCAGTACGAATACAAGTTCACACACATAGGACCATTTAAGTGAAGTAAGTTTAAAATTTTCATGCAAAACAAGTCTTTAAATGTTGTCTCAAGTTAATCCCCAGACCAAAGGAAATTCAACATATCAGCAATTTCATTTTTAGACCCACAAGTACATTTGGCATTGATTGCCCCTAACCCAAAAATATCTGAGGTCTAAAACACCAGAGCTTTGCAAAAAACAGCTTGCCATGTTCTTTCATGAATATTTTATTTTAAGCCCCTAAGACTTGAATAGCCAGGAATGCTGAATCTACTCTGCTAGAGGCCTGAAAGCATCAGCGCCTTCTCCTTGGTGGTTCTCAATCCCCTGCAGATGTTCTGCAGCTGCCCTGCTGCTTTCTGTCCTGGAAGCCCAGCCTGCTTCTCCCCTAGAAGGACTGCCTGCTGAATAAGCAGAGCCTTCCATTTATGGCAGTGATGACTCCAAGATCAGGTGGCAATTACTCTCCTCAACTCATGAGCAAATGAAAATTGAGATTTCACATCACTAGTCAAAGTCAGAAGTTTAGCCACGTAACTATTTTTACATACAGTAGAACCTCCATCGTTAACCACCTCCCTACACTGGCCACCTCTTTCAGCTGACCTGATATTCACAGACTAGATATGCACCCCATGCACGGATCAGTACAATAGGCCTAGTACCTTGTGTTGACCACCTCCGTATGTTCACCAGTTTGTTACAGTCCCTTGGGTGGTCAACTTACAGAGGTTCTATTGTATTTTTAAATACTAGTTGTGAATTGTAGATAAGGCAGTGCTGATTCAAAAGTCACAACTATTAAGGCAGAGAAGCTCGTGCAGGGGTTACAGGCACAGGCTTGGGAGTGACCTAGAAACGTGGGGAATTGTCTCCACTCCCTCCTGCATATTTACCTGGAGCACAATCCTTAACCCCTCCAAGCCTCAGTTTTGTCATCTGTAAAATGAGGATAATAATAGTTCTTATCCCTTAAAATCGCTAGGAAGATACACGCAGAATGTTATTCTAATGAAGTATCATGATATATTGTTTAATAAAATTCTTATAATAAAATTGAGACAAAGTTTTCCACAGCGTCATGTGTAATATCTCCCGCTTTAACGGATTACGCATTCTTTTCTGTGTTTAGGTTTCCTAGAGTGTTCATCTGTCTTTAGTTGCAAGGCCCATCTCTGCCAGGAACAATCTGCCACTTCACTGCAGAGAAAACTACTTCTCAACCTTCAATTTTCATTGCTCATATCACCACCTCTCTCTGACCACCCTCATACCACCAACCAGCAGACCCCACCCACCATTATTCCCTGTCCCTGAAGGCCAGATGAGCTCTCAATATGCTGCCTGGGCAGGTCTTCTCACTTTATAAGTGCTTATCAGAGGCCTATTTAATATCTGTCCCCATAGGGGAAGGTGACAGGGGAGCGTGACTGGTTTTAGAATATGCCAGTCACAGTCCCCAGTAACTGGCACACTGCAGTGATTCTACAGATATTTGCCAAACAAAGGCAAAAAGCAGACATGAAGAAATGAATGACCTTTCCTTTATATACTGACAGGCCAATAGAAATAAATAACAGGGAATTTTAGCATAATTCATTTAGACGGTATCATGGAATGGAAGGCCTTTACTACATAGACAGGAGAAGTATCACTATCCTTAAAATTTGTGAATGTGGGGATGAGGAAAGTTTCCATCAGAGGACAGAACAGGAAGCAGCCCACAGAGCTGAAATTGAAGAGTTATGGATTCATTAAACTCCAGAAACAAGGCCTAAAAATGGAAAAGCTTAAAAGAATGAAACAGTGAATGTTTAACTAAAAAACAAACAAACAAACCAACAAAAAGCAGAAAGGAGAGCTTGGACTTGGGAACCTGGCTGAACAAAGAGCATGAAGTTATCTGGAGAGGAACTGGAAGCTTTTAAAGGCAGGTGACCTGACAGCAAGTGGGCAGGAGAATTGACCTGAGGTCTGCTGTGTCATACACCAATCTGAGACGGGGTAGCACGGAGAGGAAAGGACCACACTAAGGCTGGCCCCAGTTCGCAAGAGCCATGGTGGAAACAACTCAAGCATTTCACCATTAGAAGGTGAATGGTCAGATGAAATTTGGTGTATCATGTAATGGAACAGTATTTGGCCGTATAAAGGAGGGGGATTCTGATGCCCGCTACAGCATGAATAAACCTTGAAGACCTTATAGAAGTGAAAGAAGCCAGACTAAAGGTTGCATTTTCTTTGACTTCATTTATGTGAAGTATCCAGAATAGCAAATCTACAGAGGCAGAAAGCAGGCCAGTGGTTGCCATGGGAGGGAGAACGGGAAGCGACTGCCAACTGAGGATGAGGGCTCTTTGGGGATAATAAACATTTTACGGAACTAGACAGTGGTAATGGTTGCATAACACTCTGAATTTAGTATTGTGCTGTACAATTTGAAATAGTTGAAACGCTAAATTTTAAGTTACGTGTATTTTACTACAATTACAAAAGCAAAGTTGGAGGAAGACCTGGGGGTTAATGTTCTGGGTCCTCCAATCAGTTTCCTTTGACAAGACTTATCCTCTGAAAATTTATCCTCTTGTGGGTAATTCCAGGAAAACAATCCTTCCTACCTCCCAGGGTAACTGAGAGATTAAATAAAATAGAGCACCTAAAAAGGCATTAAAAAGAGAAAAGCTTTTATTATAATTCATGCATGAAAAGTCACACTCCCATTATCAGTATTCATTCATTTTCACTCATTTATTCATTCCTGTACATCTAACAGGTGCCAGGCACTATTTTTCATGCAAGAGATATACAAAGAAGAATAGAACAAAGTGCCTTGACCACAAAATTTTAAGTTTTGTGAAAAGGTGAGGAGAGATAGAAGGAAGTTCTGGGGCAAAGGTAGGGATTGGTTTTTGTGGACTGTGAGGCCTCTTCAATAAGGTGACATCTGAACAGAGGCCTGAAGGACATGAGGCAGCAAGCCTCAAGGACACCTCAGGTACCAGCAATACAGGAAAAGGGCAGCACACACCAGCAGTCCCTGAGATGTCGTAAGTGGACACCGAGCATGCCAGAAGGATATTAGACGGTGAGCCAGAACATAAAATCTTGGAGTGAGGCAGAGTGACCTGGTGTCTTCAGATGACTCCCTATGACAAAAGGCACAGAGTGGTACAGGCTGAGGGTGACTGGCATTTCAGGAAGGTGAAAGGGACAGTAGTCTAGCTGTGGTGCTGAGGAGCAAGCAGAATGCCTGTGAGCCCCTGGCTCCCCAGAATAAAGAGAGGGTGAGAAATCTTTCATGATGTGAGAGAGCAGCAGGGAAGAGGCATCTGCCTGTGACAAAGCAGCTGCTTGGTGTACCCCAGGTCTCTAAGATGGGACTGAGGGAGGGGAGCCGCCCACGTGATGCTTGTTAGTACAGCAAAGCATACTGGGAAAACAGGAATTTAACAGCAAAGAGCAGGGGGGATCCTTATGGTACCAGCACTAGAAAATAGCAGGGCTCTGAGGATTATTTAAACTCTGCCTTAGCTATTCCAGTTATCATAGCCAAGCAATTTTGAGTTTATTTACTTTTCATATTCATGTTTTTAGAAATTATAGCAAGTTCTCTGTCTTAAAAAAATCAGCTCTCCATTTAACTACATGACAAATAAAATTCCATTTCAAAATGTTTCAGAACTCAAAAGATTGCTACTGAGAAGGAAAACAGGCAGAAATGTCAGTAATAAAATGTCTTTACCTATAGACAGCCAGGTCCAAGATGATCTGGTTACGTTTTTCATCATCTTTCAAAGAGAATTCAAGTCTAGGAATAATTCATTTAGGAGAAAAAGATGATGTCTTTAGGATCCTGTAAAATAACCTCATCACATAATCAAAAATAAAGTTGATAATAATTACACAATAATCACCAATGACAAACTTATTTTGATAATTAGATAATAAAAATTTGATGTTAATTTTAAAATTTCAAAAGAAATGCACAATATATTAATAAAATATTTATGCTTATGTTGTTTAAATCTGAGAGTCTTAAGGTAAATTACATGCAAAAAGTTAGCTTTGGTGCAGAGCTAGAGACATCTGGTGGCTAAAGTTTACTTTTCCATTTCATGGGTTTGCTAAAAGCAAACTAAAATACCAGAATTATTTATAGAGAACTAAAAGTTGTATTAGCCCCCACTTTACCCAGCGTTCTATTCTGCAAGTTTTATACAATCCTGTCCTCCTTCCTTGTTTTTGCCATCTTTGTTCTTCTCCTTTCACTGTGGACCTTTCCATTGCCTGGGGAAAGGCTGGGACCTCTCAAAGTCTATTGCCTCTGTTTTATAGATGAAGCAATGGATCCAAGGGGGTTGGCACAGCTGGGGAAGAGGCTGCAGGACGCTGGATAGGTGGGATTTCACGGCCCTAAGTCTTTCAACTGAACCCTGTGGCTGAGTCCTAGGTACACCTTCCACACTAGCAACCTACTTACTATTCAGAATTACCGGGTCAATTTTCTTGAACATTTCACTTACAAAGTTCATATGTAATTTACAATGTAAAACTATTTTAAGTTGCACATGAACTTCGTGGACACCCTGTATTATTCTATAAAATATATAACCCAACAATATTAAGGAACATAAGAGAAACTGTTTGAAAAAATGTCTAGTAGCAATAGACTTGGCTGTGAGCAGTGAGTCTGCTTGTGGCAGGCACTATCTCATTGTTCCCAACAATCCAACCATGTGGGACTTCCTCAGCATCTCAAAGGACCCAGGCATGTTTTTATCTCATCTCAGGAACCTTTTCATGTGCTGTCCCATCTGCCTTGACTGCTTATTTCTCAATTCTCCAACCAGCCAACTTGAATTCTCTCCTTGAACATTTAAGAGGTAATTTCAAAGGGGTTTTCTATGGCGAGATAGCAATTCATCACCTAGTATCTGTTCTCCCTTTATATGCAGTGAAATGAACCATGATTTTGACTGGTTTATTCTACAACCATAGGATATAGAATAAAATCTACAATTTTCAGCCTCCCTTGCAGCTAGGTATGGTCCTGTGAGAGAAGGGGTTGTATGATACTTTCCAAAGATTTTCCCTAAAAAGGGGAATGTGTGTCCTTTCTTTCCTTTCTCTTTATTCAGCTGAGTAAAATAGATTTTAGGAGGTCAAATGATACACCATGGGGGCTACTTAACAAAATACTGAAATTGCTTGCTCTGAAGCCAATACTCTGAACTCCAATACAGAGGCTGCTGGGTTTGGGTAATATTGAAGGAAGAGTTCATAGGGCTCACTGATAAAATAAGAGAAGAATCAAGAATGAATCCAAGATTTGGGGTTTTGACAAATGAGCAGATGCTTGTTACTGAGATGGAAAACATTGCAACACCACACAATACAGCAGAGAGAGGGAAGGCATCAGGAGTTCTGTATTAGTCATGATAAGTTTTGCAGTAACTATTTTATAATTGTATCTACAAAGTGCCGGCAAAGAACTAATTGAATAGACAAACCTTGAGCTCAGGGAAGAGGCTGGATCACGTTGTGAAGAATGTAAAGATAGTCATTCAAGCCATGAGATTTGGTGAGATCCCTGAAGAGTGGAAAGAGGAGACAGCTGAGGAATTTGCCCCAAGGTACTCAGGACACAAAATAAAAAGGATCCAGCAAAGTACAAATGATGAGCTGCCACTAACATAGAAGAAAAATCAGAAGTAAAAGGAAAAAAAATACTTTAAGAAGGAAGGTAATGATCACCTTGATCCAAATCTGCCAGGTCATGTAAGACAGGGACTAAGATTTGAACAATGAACACAGCAGTGAGGTGACTAAGCCTCAACATGATGGAACGCACAGGAGTTTCGAGAAGGAGCGTGAAGTAAGAAATGGAAACTGAGCACAGACAACTTTGTTAAGAATTTTGGCCACTAAGTCGGGGCAGGGAAATAGAGCGGAGGCTGGAAAGGAAACTGAGGAAGGGAGGTTGTTGTTATTTCTTTTAAGATGGAGGTTATTATAATTTGTTTATATGTGGGAAAGACTGATCCAGCAGAGCGAAGAGAAGAAATAACTGAGAAGCCAAGTCCTTGACAGGAGAGGGAACGGGATGGGGGGCCAGCAGAGACTGACTTGTGATAGGAAGTTCACCCAGAGCAGCCAGAGAGAAGAGGATATTTGGGACAAGCCCAGGCATGGTAATTAATTGCTGTTGGAAGGAAAAGAAAACTCCTGATTGCTTCTGTTTTCTTGATGCAATAAAAAAGAAGGTCCTTAGTTAAGACTGTGGAAGGGTCAGGGAGTGGTGGAGGCACAGAGAGAGGAAAAGGTTTGAGAGCAGCCTACAGAAGAGCAGAGGAAGGGACTGCCCAAGAAGATACCAGGAGATTGCCAGAGTCCATTTGATATCTATAGCCATGAATTTATAGTCTATGACCAATGAATAGACATAAATTGCTTCCTCCAGCCACGTGGGAGGACCAGCCCAGGGTGGGTAGAGGCAAGATTAAACAGGACTAGGCTTTGTGAGGTGAGGATAATGGAAAGGGGAGAAGGACAAGAGAGCTAAAGATGTTTGCCAAGGACTGATTCTGTGATGAATCGTAAAACCAAAGCAGGGTGAGAGAAGCTGAGGACCTGAGGAAGTGGGGGCAGCAAGATAAACAGCAGAGTGAATGGATCCTGGTCTTAACGGGGCACATGACTGTGGAGTAGAGTGAGTCCCCCAGGAACACAGGAGCTGGTGCTCAGTGGAAGACTCGAAGTGAAAATTCCAAAGATGGAAGAGATTTTGATGGTAGTTTCAAATGAAAACAAAATCATGCAGCTGAGCTTAGTTGGAGAAAAACATGGTTGAAATTGAGGTGGATGAGGAACTGAGAGGCCAGGGCTTTGGGTGGATTGCCAATGTGTGTGATGGAGTCACCAAGGCTAACAGTGGCAAGAGAGGCAGAGAGATATTGGTCTGTGTGTAAGATCTTCAATGAACGGGGGGGCAAAGGGTTGAGGGCTGACCAAGGTGAGGGAGCGGACTATAGGAAGAAGGACTAAGATGGCTACAGGATGTGACTGTCCTGTGGTGCACGTAGTAAGGATGGAGGGCAGGCAGCAGCTTCAGTTAGTGAGAGAAGGAAAAGGAGGAGGATTTGGGTTTGGCTGGCCCAGACCAGCTTGAGAGGGCACAGGGAAGGGGCAGGGTCCAGGAGGGGGCAGGAATGAGTTGGATTAGTGCCATATGGCCATGAGATTCTGGATGATGGTGGATAACCTGGAAAGCAAGGAAAAGGACTGAGGCATGATGGGAGGAGGCAGTAGCTGGGGAAGCAGTGGGCAGTTCTTCAAAGAATCTCCCGAAGTAGAATTGATGTCAGGTACAGGTGAGGTGGTCTCACCAGGGGCATAGGGAGCTCTGAGGGTCTCCCTTCAGCACTGCTTCAGGCTAAAGAGATGGTTTTCCCACTAGATTTATAAACTCCATGAGGGCAGAACCTACTATATTCACTGCTCTGTCCCGAAAGCCAAGCCTAGTGTTTTGTGCTGCATTCTGTCTGCTGGATAAAGGAGGTGTGTATGTGTGATGGAGGGTGAGATTATAAACTTAAAAGTGGGTTAGCATGGGCAAGTCAGACACACCACCTATTAGCTGTGTGACCTTGGGCAATCACTTCCTCTATCTCAGGCTTAGCTTTTGGACCTGTAAGGAAGAAATGCTGGCTACCACACCTGGGAATAATTCAAGACACACCCTTTACCATGATAATGACATAGCAAATGAAATGACAAAAGTAATAGGTTTGAGTAATACAATGAAGTGAGATTTAGTCCATAGACGTTCTGGTCTATATTTTGACTGCAAAAGGCCTATCTGCCCTGCTTTCTAGTTAAACTATTAACAGAAAGAATAGCTCAGATATTACTATACTTGAGGATTTTTGGTTGGAACATTTTCTTTCTCATTAAATTAATTGAGGTATTTAAATCAATATCTTTCCTTAGCTCTCGAATGCTTTGCTCCAGAGTATAAAGTAGATGTGGAGGGGATGTTTCAGTGTTCTCAATCTGCTAAACACATTTCCAGGGCAAAGTTTTAAGAATTCATAAACACAATAATGCAAAGGCAATTTTCAGACATAAAACTATATATGGTCCAAAGTTCTCTGAGATTCATAAAAAACATTTCCATATGTTAAAATCATTTTCTGGATGCCAAGAAAATGATGCACTTGAAAACAATAGATGTTTTGCTTTTAAATATGCACAAAATGGCATTATTATTAAATTCATCAAACTTAAAAGCAGCCAATATGTCCTTTGCAGAGCAAACCTAGAATTGAAGCAACAGTTGGCCAACACCACAAATTTTGCCTCTTTACGTGTCTATTTGGCGTCACTTACTTGGGTTCGTTTACATTCAGGGGTCTCCCATCTTCCTTGATCAGGGTCCTGGGTGGCTTCACTTTCTTATTTTTTTCACTTAGGATTATGGGTAGGTGAGAACAAGGGGCAGTGGGGAGAGGGAAAAGTAAACAAAACAAATATAAAAGTAATAAATTTTTGTGAAATAGCTTAAAATATAGCAATATGACTTTTGTGAATATATCAATAATTCAATAGCAGAGAGCCCATTCTTTTAAGTTTATGCTGGGAATTGATAATCAGCCATGTTTTTATATGGTTGTATCTATAAAGCAAAAACGTTTTCCAGATAATTGAAATGGGAGGAAAATACTCTTGTTCATGAAATATCCACGAATATTTAAATAAGTCTACTTTATGCATGATTTACCCAGACAACTGTCAATCCTCCATTCATGTATAGAGCTTCTGCTTTAGTTAAAATTATAATTTTTAAAGTACCAAGTGGAAGCTATTCAATAGAAATGAAAGTACCAGCACATAAAGATCTATAAAAAAGGATATTTCTCAGCATTATTTGTAGTGGAAATGTTATGAATGGCCATCAATGGAGGAATGATTGGATTAACTGTGGTTTATTCATGCTATGAATTAATTTGTTGCTATTAAAAAGATATTTGCTCTTTACCTACTGATCCAGAAAAATGTTGATGATGTATTCAGTGAGAACAAACATAAAATATAAGTACGTTTTTGTTTTTTTAAAAAAAGACCCCCAAAACTAAATTTTCAGAGATAATTTTTACAATTGTAAAGGTTAAAGAGGTCTCTGAACACTCTTTATGTTGAAGGGCTGAATAGGAGGGAAAGAAAGGGAGCAAAGAGAAGATTCATAAAATCATGTGAAATAAAAATGCAGTACGTAAATTCTATTTAAAACATTGCTGAAAATACATAAAAACGCATATGTGGACAGGAAGTAGAAGACTAAGTGGACAAATTTGCTTAGATGATGAAATTGTAGGCAATTCTTTGCCTTGAATTTCTATTGCATTTTTTTATTGCATTTTTTTTTTTTTTTACAGTAGACAAAAGGGATTTCCATCCTTTATTAAGTTCTTATTTTAGGACATATCAATTTGTACCCTTAGTAAAAAGCATGGCATTAAAAAAACAAAACAAAAAAGATGAGTTTTTTCTTCTTGTTTCCAAAATTCATATCAGTCTCCCTAGATGATTAGGAGCAGAGTTAAATGCAAAAAGTAACACATACTGTACATCATCACATTTTCAGTTGAATTTTTCTCCAAATGGTACTTTTATAAATTAAAACTAAATTCAGGATCAGTCAATTATTGCTGGGTAATGAGGAATAAAGCAAGTACATAAATCTGGCAACTTAACCTTATAAGTCAGACTTAGTGACAAATTGGACGAGAAAGAAGTTATGATGTGGGGGGGTGTATGTATATACACATATACCCCTGTTACAAATTTGTGGGGGGTTGTCACCTTTGCAACAATCAATCAAGAGGAAGAATAGTAATTCATTTAAAAGTTTGGAACTGGTCATGCCTTTAACATCTCAACAGCGTATTTCTTTGTATGGTATTCCAATAGATGTCATTTAAGACTGTTAGCTGAAGCCTAGGCAAGAGTAAGGTCTATTTTGAGAATAGCATTTAGTATTTCCCAAAACAGTTTGGAAAATGGTGCAGATTATCTTTTATACTTTTAATATAAATTTTGCATCACTTAATTTTATTTTTTAATCATAAACATTTCCCTGCATCTTAAATTTGCTTTTCAGATTCAATTAAATATTTCAATGACCCAGGTAGGACACTTATGGGACATCTAGAAGTACTTGGCTTCATCCTACTCAATGTAGATAACAGCAGACTTAGGATCAAAAGATTGATCTTATCCTTGCTTTTTCCTAGTTAATGAAAATGGCTGTCTGATCAAAGAGGCAAACGTCTTGGGGACCCATTGGATTGGCAGATGATAACACCTGAATAGTGACTTAGACCTCCATACAATTCAGCCTTACTTTTATCAGTGTTAGAGGGGAAAAAAATTTTTTTTCTACTAATATTAGGCTCAATAGATTATGGATTGCATATATATTCTATAAATATGTACAACTTCCATTTCAAAGGACTCTTGAGCCTGCAAAGCACTTTCACATTTGTTGGTTCATCTGATTTTCTTAATAATACAGTGGGGTAGGTAAAGCAAGTATGATAATCACCATTTAACAGATGAGAAGCAACTGAGGAAAAGTTAGGTATCATACTTGCCACCGTCACATAGAGGGTCATAAGAGGCAAGACATGAATACACAGCTTCTGACGCTATTCATGGTTCTCCCAAGGCGCTACATGGACTCTCAGTGTATAAAGTAACCACAATTTACAAACAAATATTTTAGATAAAATTTGATTTTAATTGTTGTACCTTCCCATCTTTCTAATTAACAAAGTTTTAGGAATGCAATAGAGATTTCAAATAGTTTTTCTCCCCTTTTAGTTTCTTGATTTTAGCTGATAATCACAGGAAGAGATGTTACCTTTCACTTGAGTCATTGCCATGCAGATTAGTGTATTTCAGAGTTAACTGATCACATTCTCAAGCTCATGAATAATAAGTATTCCCATAAGTGATACATTTTACATACTAGACTCAAGCAATGACATCAAATGAAATGACATAGAGCCTACCTTTGAAAAAGCTACTCTGAAAATAATAGCTTAAGCATCTTAGCTTCTAACAAATCAGATTATATCTAAACAATTCAAAAGTGAAATCATACTGTTAAATGTCCAAGAGAGTTGTATTAGGAAAAATAAAATGCCTAATGAAACTAATTTCTAATTCACCATTTTGCACCTTGATAGAAAAGACGCAGGAACTCATCACCCCACAAAATGACCTTAGGTTTTTTTGTAACACAGTAACTAGTATTCCTAACCCAGGCCACGCTATGGTTAGACACTACACTTAGTTATATTAAAGGTGGTTAAAAAGGTAAAGACATACAAATGCAACCCCACCTAAAACACTGTAGTTCATAATGTTCTAAAGAAGGTATGATGATGTTAAGGAATGGGAGCTGATACAAATTCAACAAAAAGCTGCACTTTGAAAAATCAACATCTACATATGACAGCTAACAAAGATTTAACACAGATGATGGGTAAAATAATGTGCAATCACAAAAGTGAGTTTAGAGAGTGTTGCCTCTTCTCCTAGGAGAAGAATGGAATACCTTAATTTTTCTTGTTTTTCTCTTTGCTTTTCCATGTGTCTAAGAGTTTCCAATCTAGATTCAGGAGTAAACAAAGAGGGCTTATTCCAGAATTCCACATCATCTTCGCTTTCATCTAGTCTTTTTTTGTTGTCTTCCTCTTCTTGTGTTTCTGGTACTTGGAGGCGATCTTTGTTCTCTAAAGATGAACTAGGAAAAACAAACAGATACAGAGCACATAAGACCAAAAATGTATAGAAGAGTTTCATCCTCAATGTCTTAGATGCTTTTCTTATGTTTATCTTTTTGCCTTTGAATGTGAAAGTGACTCTGAAAGTCTGATCAGGCCCTGCTGGAGGGCACTGCCCCCGTGGCACTGGGAAGGCCCTCACCATTATCATCAGACCTTGCAGTAATCAGCTGCCAGGGTTCACAGACCTGGCTGATATGAGTTATCAGGATAGTTTTATAAAAAGGACAGACTGCTGGGCTCCTGTTGGTGAGTTTCTTTAGTAAGACTGGAGTAGGGCCTGGGAATCTGTTTTATAATATTTCAAGAGGTTCTGATGATCAGATAAGCATGGGGACTACGGGGCCTTAGCCATCACCCCACCTCCAGTCTTGTATCCATCAATTCCACTTCCCCCATTGCTCCTAGAGGGATCTTTCTCACAGGCAAGTTGGATCATGTTATTTCCAGGTTCTTTATGATTCTCTACCTACAAAATTCTCTTATGGGACATATGAATCCTTGCATGGTATAGCCTCTGCCTACTTTATTTTTCATAGATAACTTTGATTATATAGCTTTATATGAATGACTTCTGATTATATAGTTTTATATGGTAACAGCTCTCAGTTTTCTTTCATTTATGTTTTGTGGACTGTGAGAGAATTGAACAATGTCTCTATAGGCCACCATATGGGTATTATATAAGCTATTCGAGATAGACTCCAGAAATATTCATTGCACATCTTCTGTGTGTCAGGGACCAGAGATATAACCCTGGTCAGGACAGACCACAACACTACATTCAGGAGATCCTATTCTAGTGGCGAGAAAATGACATCATTCAAATAGTAAACACTGGGTATAGTGTCTCTTCCCTCACCTCTCCCTAGAATATACATCTTTAGAAAATGACATGAAATGAAAAAATTATATGAAGCCTTTAGTACCAAGTATATAATATAGTGAGTACCCAAGAAATGTTGGGTTTTCTTCTTGTTACTAAAATAAGGAAAGTTCATCTAGTTGATCTTCAAATAAGATGTTTTCTGAAGGGATGAACCAAAAATACTAGAACATGAAAAGTAAATAAACAGAGCATAGAATAAAATTCTGTTTAGATTCTTTACATAGAAAATGCACCTAGATATTTTAATAAGCAAAACAATATAAATTACTGAAAACAAATGCTTTGCCATATAGCTATAGTTCTTTACAGTACTGAAAAAATTCATCTACAAAGGGGAGCTATAATATCCTGGCTAATTGCCACTGAAATAATTATTTCCATTCTAATTTAAATGATTTTTCCCCCCTGGAAAGTGACTAATTGGTTCACTTTGACCTTTTGCAACCTAAAATAAAAATAATAAACATACAAATAACAGTACTTAAAAAAGTCTCAGAAATATCAGCTAATAACATAAGTCTCCAAAGGCAAAATGCATATAAATACATCAGTGGATGATAAAAGAGGATGTACTCATTAGGTTGTGAACAACAACAAAAAATTTCTCTTCAATCACTTCTCTAGATTTCTCTTTGTACCCATGAACAGCCTTGCTACCCACAGCCCTATGGTCACTTTTGAGAACAGTTTCATCTCAGCTAATGTTTACTTTCAGGTATTGAAAGTTCTGCAGTTTAAATCAAACTTTACACTTACATCCAAATTGAAGTCATTTCCTCTTCAGACTCCTCTCTCCCCTGGCCCTATTCAAGATTGGACTGTTCCTGGAGAGAGAGATGCCTTTCACTCCCTCCCTTCATTGCTCATCTGGGGTGGAGGACTGAGGCAGAGAAGGAGGTGAACATCTACATGATGACCACTTTTACGACCTGGCTGTTGCTACCATCTCTGGGCCAATGCCCACATACTCGCTTTCAGGTCTTGTGAGCACCCTTGTCATTCTTAAAGACACTGCAGGAGCCCTCTGAGAGTACCATTCCCTGTGGAGGTCATCAATATACTTTGCAGCTGGTCCTTTTGTGATAACTCCTCAGCTTCTGCCACTATAATCCATCCCAGAGTCTCTTATTGCTGCCACCCTCTGGAACTCAAGCGCAGCTCCTTCTACTAGATGTACTTGGCCTGTGGGATATTCACAAATCCTGGCTGTGTGAAATGCCAGAAGTGTCAGCTATTTCCATTTATGCCCTCTTTCCTGATTCTTCTGCTCCAGGCTGTTCCAGGCTACTTCCTATCTTTTCAGCTCTCCAGGATAGAGACAGGTTCTACCTGGGCAAGAGGTAAGATGCTAATCTCCCCTTCTTGCGGTCTCTGAATCTCGGTAGTGATTCATCTTAACAGCCTTGAAAGGGGAATAGCCTCCTATTCTTCCCCAGCTGAGTCAACGATCCGCTTTATTTCAGCAATCCTCCTCTAGCACGTTAATGTTTATGTTCCTATAGGCCAGATGGGGAGATAGTGGCGAAGGCTGAAGGATCAGCTGGTCCTGTGCAAGAAACCTAACGACAAGCTTCTACTAAAATACAAGGGACCGATAATTTTAAACTTTAATAAACTTTTATATACCAGGAATAGCAAACGATCACCAATGCATTGTGTGTGCCTATTATAACCTTGGTGCAAAATATCAGGAAAAAATACAATGAGATAAAGGATATTACAGCATAAACTTGCTTATGAACATAGGTTCAAATATTATAAATGGAATATTAGCAAAATGAATGCAGCAATGCATTAATAAATATATAATGGAAAAAGTAGGTTTATTTTAGAAATTCAAGGATGGTTCAATAGTAGAAAACCTATTAATGTGATTTAAGACATTAATAAGAAAATACAATTATTTCAATAGATTCATGGAAAGCATTTCAGAGAAATCCAATATCTATAATGATAAAAGCTCTTCATCAATGGAGAACAGAAGAAAATTTACTTAATGTTACCAAAAATAACCATAACAAACATGTTTAATGATTAGAAAGATAAAGGAACAGGAACAAGACACAGATATCCATTCTTACTGCTGCTATCCTACCCCATACAGTTATTCTTGGAAACTACATAAAGAAAACAAAGAGGAAAAAGAAGGATTGGAAATGCTTTTAAGCTGCTTCTTACAAAAATATGTTATTCTAAATAAAAAGCAAGATAATCTAGACACTATTGCATATTTTGTAAAGGTCAGCAAGATCAATCCAGTATCAGTATGCAGAAATCATCTGTCTCTTTATCAGAAAAAAGCAATTACATGTCTATTTTTAAAATCCTATTCTATAAGATACTTAGAAATAAATCTAATGAAAGATGATTAAAAACCTACTGAAGGACTCTGAAGAAGATCTAAATAAATAAGAGCTCTTTGGAAGTTTAGAAGGGAACGAATCAATGTCAGGAAGATGTCAACGTTCCTCCAATTAACATATAAATTAAATGCAGTTTCAATCAAAATTCCGATAGGGATTTTTAGGGAATTTTATTAGCTAAAATTCTTATAGAATACCAAAGCAGTAAGAATAATCATGATAATTTTGAAAAAATTAGAATATCAAATATTAAGATTTGATATAAATTTATAGAAATTAAAGGCAGGTAGAGGTGGTCCTGTGGAACAGTCTAGGAAACTCAGAAATGAACCCATGAATATGTGACTAGAAAGTATATGGTAGAAGCAGTGATTCAGATCAGTAGGAAAAGAATAGCACCTTAATAAATGGTATGGAGATAATTAGCTACCCATATAGAAAACAGTACCATACCCTATCCTGTAGACAAAGGTTAATTACAAATAGACAGATACAAACAAATGATCTTGGGTAATAAGGGATTTAATAAAGAAGACATAAATGTACAAAAGTAAGTTTAATTACATTATTTTTAAATTTCATAAAACTGAAGTCACAGACTGAAAGAAGATATTTGCAAAGTGCATAACCACCAAAGAATTTGTGAACTATAAATTGATAAGAAAACTATAAATTGGTAAGAAAAGAACTATAAATTGATAAGAAAAGAACTTACAATTTATTTAAGCAGAGGACCTGAATAGAAGAAATTTGAATAACCAATAAACAAGAAGATATTTAAGATATTCAAATTCACTAGTACTTATAGAAATGCAAATTAATTTAAAAAATTAGGTGCTACTTAACACCAAACTTGATGGGCCAATATTTTAAAGGATCAGATTACCTAGTGTTCCCCAAGATTGGAAACTCTCCTATACTGTTAATACAGGAGTCTAAATTAATAAAACTACTTTAGAAAACAATTTGGCAATAAAGTTGAAAAGACATCATATTGGTGATATAGCAATGTCACTGCCAAATAGCCTAAAGAAACTTTCGTACCTACACACAGAGACACTGCAACATTGTTTGAGAAAATGAAATAGAGAAATCAATGTAAACAGCATCCAAAAAGGGCAAGACTCATCAGCCAGCACCCAGTGATAGGGCCAACCATGTTGTCAGAGCTGGTGCATACTCTGATTGGTAAAGGCCAATGAATCACTGAGTGTTAAATATTTTAAATATTTCTTCTGAGTTAAAGTATAATGTATTCATCCAACAGAGTGTTATTCCATAGTTAAAATGAATGAATTCATTTTACATGTCTCCATATGCATAAATCTCAAAAGCATAATGTTGAATAAAAAGCCATCATTCATGCTAAACACACACACACACACACACACACACGCAAGCCTCAGTGAAGTAAAGACATTAAAAATCCCGATGAGAGTGACACATACCCAATATGTACCAGTCTGAGGACAGCAGACACCAGTGGGGGTGAAGAGAGTAATGGGATGAAGGAGAAGTTCTAAGGGTCTTCTACTATCTAGATCAGGCATCCTCAAACTACGGCCAGTGGGCCACATGCGGCCCACTGAGGACATTTATCTGGCCTGCGGGGTGTTTTTGCCGCCACTGCCTGTCCTGCTTAGCAGCTGACTCATCCCGGGGCCCACAGTCCACCCTCCAGCGGTCTGAGGGACAGTGAACCGGCCTCCTGTTTAAAAAGTTTAAGGACCCATGATCTAGATGGTGTTTTATTTCTTATGTAGAAAAAAAAAGATCCGAAGCAAACATACAAACTATCGTCACTTATTAAATCTGGGTAGTGGAACTATAACTGTCTATTTAACCTAATAGACATTTATGTCTGTCTGAAATATTTGATAATTATATTTTCTCAAGTTGAAGAGATTCTGTTACCTAAATATTTAAAGCTTTCACTGCATGAAATCAAATCACCTGACTATAGTTGCAGTTCACTATGTACGTGTATTAATAAACAAGTGTGAAAAATTCAGAATCGTAACAAAGACAAATTAGAGTTATTAATCACATTAAAAATGTATTCAGCTTATAATTCACAAAATTGAATGTTTTATGGTACAATTAGAATTATTCAGTTTATAATAATGTGATTTGCATTTAATGTTTCTAAAATATTTCTGCTTAATAAATCAAAGTACACCTGTTAATTCATCTTTCCTGTACATCTTTTATGGAGATTTCTCTGAGAATAATTGTAGATGCAAATTAAACTTCAAGTTTGGAAAGGCTTTTTTTTCCAAGAGAAGAAAGCCTCGCAGAATGTTATAATGGAACGTTCATATCCTTTCTTCCAAAATTCACATCATGTTTTATTCTTCCAGAATTTTGGTGATACTGTGAACACTTTGGGAAGAGAACATAGTTTGCTGTGTCTAACAGAAGTTAAGTGTTACAGAAAGTAAAGGCTCACAAATTTACATACAGCGTAGCGTTGATGTCTGTGTACCAGCGCCCGTCAAAGCCCGAGTTACTTCTCCTCTTCTTGCCCTCACTTTTGTGCTCTTCTTGAAGTTTCCTCTGAGCCTCTTCTTTCTCTTTGGTTCGTTTGAGGCAGTACGCTTTTTCCTGCTCTCTGATTTGTTGCTTAATTACTGGATAGTTCTGCAATGCCTGAATCCTTTCTGAACGCTCGATTTCTTTACCATCCAACCACTTAAATAAAAAAACAAAAAATATACTATAAGCATTCAATTATAATTGAATCACTGTGAATCGGTCCTGGCTTAGTTTTGATTAGAATTTTTTAAATTTAGATATAATAGTGTGCTATAGCGATAAAGACTTTTTTAAAAGTAACTAATGGGAAATAGCAGAAATCCATGTATATTTCATGCAATTAACAAAGTTTACAATGTATGTTTACTGGTAGTAATAACAAGTAGTTTCTGTCAAAACCAGTAATTAATGAAAAGCTCTCAAAATATTTTATATTAATTTTATAACTGTTCACAATACCAAGAATTTCAGTGCTTAGGTCAAATCATAGCTCCAAAGTATAACAGCAACACTTCCCAAATGTTCTCTACAAAAAAGACCCTTGAATATTACACATAATTGGGCTCTAACGCAAATGAGCCCACGTTCCAACCTAGACAACAAGAGGAACAGAGTATGTCCTTAATTGTAATAACATTGATCTGATATTTTTATAGATTTTCCAGAATAAAATATTAAAATAAAAACATCAACTGAGGCTCAGCACCTGTGACTCACGTGGCTAAGGCGCCAGCCACATACACCTAAGGTGGCAGGTTCGAATCCAGCCCGGGCCCGCAAAGCAACAATGACGGCTGCAACCAAAAAATAGCCAGGTGTGTGGCCGGCACCTGTGGTCCCAGCTACTTGGGAGGCAGAGGCAGGAGTCTTACTTGAGCCCAAGAGTTGGAAGTTGCTGTGAGTTGTGATGCCACAGCACTCTACCCAAGGGGACAGCTTGAGGCTCTGTCTCAAAAAAAAAAAAAAAATCAACTGAAATCTGAAATGTCAATGCTAACAGTTTAAAGATACCTATCTATCTAGACTCATCCTAGAAGATGAGGCCAGGTACTTATGAAGGTATGGTTGGCAGATAATGGCTCTTCAACAATGTCCATCTAATCTCCATGAATGTTACCTTACATGGCGAAACAGATTTTACAGATGTGATTAAAGTAAGGATTGGATGATCAGGGTAATCCTAATCAGGATCACGGAGGTGTTTGAAAGTAAGGCCAGCAGAAGTGACAGCACCAGAGTTGTTAAGAGAGATGGACATGCCACCCTGCTGGCTTTGAAGATGGAGGAAGAGGCTTTGAGTCATCTAATTTATCGTACTTTGTTATAGCAGCTTTAGAAAAGTAATACATCTATTAACACAATTCCCTTTAAGTAAGCCATATGCTATTAAGAGTGCAAAGTTTATCAACTCATTGTTAAATACTAGTAAACACAATGACAAATGCCAATGTTGATTTCTCTTTTATGAGAGAGACCCACTTCCAGCTCTCTTTGGAAGTGCTCTAAACTTTCTTTGTCCTTAAATAAAATTTTTCAAAGAAAAAAAAATGCCAATTTTCAAAAAGGGGCTGTTGTATGTTGTCTAAAAAGAAAGACTTGACCCAAAACTTGTACATTGACCTAGAGAGAGGCAGTGAGTGTGGTTATAGTGTGGATGGTGGTGTCTTCAGGGTCAGATACTCATAGGTCCAAATCCCACCTGTGCCACTCATCAGAACTGTCAATTTAAACAAGGAGCATCAGTTCTCTGAGCCCTGTCATCCTCATCTCTGAGTGCAACTAATTTTCTCCCTGCATGGGTCTAGGAGGATCACAGACAGTGTGCACAAAGTACCTGGCACTCAAGTGACGGGTCTCATACCTCTAGCCTGCAGGCCGCAGCAGTACTAACACACCCCAGCAGTGGTGACCAGGCCTTCCTGACCATTAAACCTTCCAGGGCAATGTCATGCAGTGTTGCAACACAGGATCTATTTCTATGATATTCTAGTTCTCATCAGTTCATTTTCTAGGAAGTTAATTTATAGTGATGAGAAGTCTGGGTAATGCTATATATAATTTGTCATTTATTCCAGACCCTATTATCTGAGTCACTCATTCTCTTAATCTAAGAAATTTTGTATTAATACAAACATCTTCCATTAATCCAGCAGTCAGAAATCTCTCAACTACAGAGAATATAGAAGTTCAATTAACAAGTGTTCTCTGAGAACTAAGAAAATGCTTATTACAAATATGTTCAAATTCATTGATGATATATAGGAATTTAAAATTAAAGTAACGATGAGATATAATTTTATAGAGATCATATTGGCAAAAAGTAAAATCTCCATTGCTTCTGGAGATAAAATGGAAAGGGTGCTCAAAACTGCTTGGTGACAACTACAGTACTAAACTTCTTGGAAGGCATCTAGCAACACATTTTAAAATTAAAAGTATTAATACTTCTTGAGGCATCAATTCCATATCTAAGGATGAATTTCAGAAAAATAAAAATACCAATATTTTAGGAAATATGTAAAATGATAGTAAAGCTTGGTTTATGAAGGCAAAAGAATGCTTGAAACAAAGTGACTGTCAGCAGTTCAAGAATCTGTGGGCAAGAGACATGAACAGAACTGTCTCTGAAAAAGACAGATGAATTTGACCAACAAACACATGCAAAAATGTTCATCATCCCTACTCATCATAGAAATTCAAATCAAAACCACCCTATGATATCACCTAACCCCAGTGAGAACAGCCCACATCACAGGGTCCCGGAGCTGCAGATGCTGGCGTGGGTACAGAGAGAAGGGAACACTTTTACGTTATTGGTTGGATTACAAACTGATACAGTCTCTTTGGAAAGAAGTATGGAGAATCATCAGAGAGCTAAAAGTAGACCTTCCATGTGATTCTGCAACCTCATTACTAGATATCTATCCAGAAAAACAGTCATTTTACCATAAGGACGTTTGCATTAGAATGCTTATTGCAGCTCAATTTACAATCGCTAAGATGTGGGATCAACCCAAGTGCCCATCAACCCATGAAAGGATTAATAAACCGTGGTATATGTATACCATGGAATTCTATTCAGCCATAAAGAAAGATGGAGACTACATCTTTTGTATTAACCTGGATGGAGTTGAAGAACTTTCTCCCTGTCAGACCTGACCCAGAGCCTCTGGGGATGGAACACAGCAATCTCTGCTTACAAAGCCTTCCAAGTATTCCGATGCACACTAAAGAGACCCACTGCCACAGAAAATGAATTAAGAAAAAGCAACGATAAAAAGTAGTAATTATAAAAGCACAGTAGTCTAAGACTACGTACAAAGGTACAGATATGTCACTGGAGCTACCTCTAAAACCCTACGCTTTTGGTTTATTATTAGTAATGATGAATTATAATTAGAAATGATGAATGCTCTTCATAAGGATGAACTGAACTCATCAAGAAATAGTTGAATTAAGTTTTGTGTGTTTAGAATGAGAAAGGCAGAAAGTATACAATTTATTTTTCAAAGATTTATTAAAGCTATTCAAACAATGTTAAAGGTTTAAAAGGCCACACAAGTAGTTTTGATTCTCTGAAATATTCCACTCTCTGAAGGCGACACATTTTATGACAAAGCTGTGAAAAAATCAGGAATTATTACAGTTTCTCATTTTCATTTTTCTGTGTTTTCTGCATCATTAAAATAAGCTTACTTTTAGTTGTTGAAGAGTTGCCACCACAAATTGTCTGTAGCCATCAAAGTCAGCACATGGGTTGCCCATGAGAAAGAGCTCTTTCAGATGGATATTGCGCTGTAGGGTCTTAACACTGCTCAGCTCTCCAATAAAATTTATCGTCAAGTCAAGTTTTGTCAGCCATTCACATCCTATTGAGAAAAAAAGTAAAAGCAGAAAAATCACAATGGAAAGAAAAGTATATAATAGAATATAATAGAAGTAACAATTGTAATATTTTAAAATCTGCTGGTTAATTACACCACTTACCATGAGGAGATTTTTCAGAAATATCAACTCAAACAGTCTTAGTTGTTTTTCTATCTGCATTTCCCCTTATTTTCAACCACTTCATCCTTCCGGCCAGAGAACATCACTTTCCTTGCTTATATTTACAAGGCTGTTTAATATTTTTAGTCCTTCTAGCCAAAAGACCCCACTTTCCTTGCTTATATTTATAAGGCTGGTTAAAATTTGGATTCGGTCACTGGTATGAAGGAAACCAAGTCTAAGCTACTGGGGCAGCCACTACATCTACATCAGAGCAGAACTCCCCGGAGAGGGCACTCGGAGTCTGTCCTCCTTTTGGAGGGTCAGGGGTCCCAGTTCCCTGAACCCAGCTGACCTGGTTCAATTACTTGATTACTCAGCTAAGCTAGAAAGTTCAACTGAGGCATGGTGATGGAAAAGCAAAACTGAGCGGATACTGAAAATAAAATTGGAGCAGCACAGGCAGTGTGGGTAGAAATCAAAAGTAACCTGCACAAGTTTCAGTGTAACAAAGAGAGGTTTTATTTAAGAAGAATAAAGTTTAGAGCACTTCCAAAGAGAGCTAGAAGTGGATCCCTCTCATGGAGGAGAAAAGGTGAGAGAGAACTATTGCAAAGACCTGCAGGGGTATTGAAATCGCTCTCAAGCCTTCCATTGGCCTCTCTGCACCTCCTGGCAGTATTGTCCTCTTCTATTGGTCATTGATGGCTTCTTTCTCCTGGTCATTAGCTACCTAGGTTACCTCAAACACACATTCTTAAGGGCCCTTCAGACTTCCTGGTTCAGCAAGCCAGGTTTTCCTTCCACCCCCCTTGAAGTCCCTTTCTTAGTGTCCCTTCTCACTCCTAAGAGTTTTACCAGGTAATTAAGACATATTTCACCTTGGAGAGTCACAGTGGGAAGTTCTCCCCAAAAGAAAGGCATTTCATAAAACCAAATGCCTCATAACCTGTATTCCAAAGTCACCTAGAAGAGAAAGAATGACCCCAAGACCACCAAGAACTGAGCTGAAGTTATCCACAGAGATGAAGAACAGAGCCAATGATGCTCAGAGGAATAGCAGGAAGAGGAGGAGCATGGATTTTATAGTGAAATTGACACATCCATTTTCATTACAGAGATAGCCAGATGCTATAGAAACTTCAACCAAACTCAAATTGGAATTTGAATTAATTCCCTCATTCACATTCCATGGGGGCTTAGTGGTTATGAGTCTAGACTTTGGAATTAGACATACATGAGTTCAAATCCTACCTCTGTCTCATTCTTGCTAATATGACTTTGGATAAGTTATAAGCCTTGACCTCCTCATCTGGAGAAATACCAGTATTGGTACCTGGTTCAGGAGTTGTTATGAAGATAAGATAATACACATAAAACACTCAGTTAGCATAGAACCTGCCACTTAGAGTGCCCATAAACATGTGGTATGATTAGAATAGCTCAATGATCACTTTTCCATTATCATTTGGCTTCTTGGACAATGTGCCTACAGGGAGAGAAGGAAGTGTAGCTGTCTCATGAGCATAAGAGTTTGCAGTTTCTTACTATGAATGAAGGAAGAGTTGGGCTGGTTTGTGAGACGGCCTCTGCAGTCTTGGTTCAGCATTAGACTGTCTCTCCCTATGACTGACTCATGCTCATGGGATTGACATGGCAGAGTCTCAGCATTCAGTATCTAGAGAGCCATTCCCAGCTGACAACCCTGCTCTACCTTGTTCTACACTCATTTCTTCAAATTTCTACACATTCTTGCCATATGCTTCCTAAGTAGATCACTACTTTTCTGTCATTGTTTTGTGGCTATATAACTCAGAGTGAACTTTTGTTCTTAAGATATTAATGTCAGCAACACGAATCTGATTCAGATCAGTTCATATCTATACAGCTCTATCATCTTTGGTAAGGTTTTCCTCCTCCCTAAAGGCTAGAAAGTGGAACTAACTTTGTTAAATAATAGTGTCCTCTCCCTTCAAGGGTGACATATGCTAGCATTCCACTCTTGACCCAATATTCGCTCTTACTATCTTCTTGATGACAACAGTCACGGTCATTATTTAACCAAACCCAGATTCTGATGACTCCCAAATGATATCCCCATGTCTGACCTGCCAATTAAATGTTATACTTCTATTTCCAGATGCCTGCAAGACATACCCCTATCACATTCAACATGTTTAAAATGGAAACTCTGTAACTCCTGTCATGTTCCAACCTTCAGCACAGCTTCTCTGCCCTCTGTGTGTCTAAATTCTGTTAATGCCATCACCACGCCATGAACATGACACCAAAAGTCATGTCACGAACTTGAAAGAAACCTAAATTTCTTTCTTAACCATTTATGTCATCAGCCAAGCCTTGAAGATCTTAACTTCATAATCCTATTACCAGTACTGCAGTTCAGGTTCTTATCACCTTTTGCATGAAATATGGCAATAATCTCCTAAATTATCTAGCTATTTCAAGAATATGAAAAGTTCAAAAGAATGGGAAAAAGTAGAAATACGTATAAAAGATGAGCCTGGCACACCTTAATGTGCCACAAAGCAAGGAAGTGCTCAAAGAATGACATGAAAACCCCAAGACATGGCAACCTACTAAAAAGGGCTCCTCTGACCACAGCTGGGACAAGCTGATCATCAAACTAAATAACAGTAATAACATGATCCACCGAATAAATACAAGAATCTATGAATCCACACCGATGAAAGTAATATGAATAAATAATTGGGGGAGAAGACAAAGTTTTTCCTTAAATCATAATGTCACCTAATAAATATAAAAAGAATGATAGAATTAGAAAAATCAGGATAATACTAAAACTAGTGCATGTCAGTATGATGAGAAATAGAATGAATGTTTACATAATGTCAAAGTACCTTCCCACAAATAATTTGTTAGTTAGAAGAGAAGTATAACAACTTTGTAGTAGTGAAACCTGGTAGACTCTTTCTTTCAGTTCCTTCTATGGCAATCAGACACTCTGTAACACACACATTATTTCACTTTAACTCTCTATACAGCCTTGGTCCTATCTAATATTTTTCTTATTTTGTTTGAGTGCATGTGACCTGTCTTCACCTATTAGAATATAAACTCCTTAGAGACTGGAAAACTGTCTTGTTCATTACTTCATTTCCTGTGCATAAAAGACTTGGCATAAGATAGGAGGTCCAGAAAAAAAGGAAGTGATGGAGAGAGAAAAAGAAAGGAGAAAAGAAAGAATTAGGGGGAAAGACAGAAGATAAATAGGTAAATGTTACAGATTAGTCAGTAGGGAGATTAGTTGGCTCAGGCAAAAACTAAAGGAAGAAAAACGTTGAAGATAATTGAGCAACTGAGTATAAAATGGAATTGACCACACTGAGTTTAGGTCACCACCAAGTGACTATTATAGCTGGACTTTAAATTCTAGCAAATATAATTACCTGATATAAAATAAATCAGTAGCAAGAGAAGACATTTACATTCCCAATTCAGAAAAAAATGGTTAAGCAAACTCCAATACATCTATTCAATGTACTGTTATAAGAACATTAAAAATGATGGTTTTGAAACCTATATCATAGCATGGGGGAAAGCTCATGGTATAATGAAAATGGAAAAAGTAAGATAAAATACTGCCCATACACTAAAATTATAATAGCAAGAAAGAAAAGACAGGAAAAATGAACTTACCAAAATGATAACAGTAATAGTAGAATTAAGAGTAAAATTATTCTTTGTCTAACAATTTTGCATCATGATTATATGTGAGGTTTTTAAAGTACACACAAAGGAAAAAACACATTAAATTGGTAGAAAATTAAGACATAATTAGTAGAGATTTTACAAATGTCATAAATCTGCTTTCTAGGCATGTAATATGCTTATTAACTATATGGCTAATACTTATTCAGTCTTTCATATACGGTATCTTATTTAATCCTACCACCATGCCTATGAGGGAAATATTACAATTATTACCACAATTTTAGGTCAGATAGTTCTGTGTGGGTGGGTACCTGGCTCCACGACGGCCACCATCCATCACGTGCACTCATGCCATTCCCCACAGAGAAGTGGTGTCCATTCCTTCTGCTACCCCCACCCCCATATCTGGGCTGTCCCTGTGAATGCAGTGACTGTGAAGTTCTGGGGATGCCTAGATGTCTTGGAATGCTTGTATTGGAAGTCTTGCTCTTGGAACAACTACTTTGGGACATGTTAGAAGCTAAATAACCTATCTGTGTACCTTGAGTCTGCCATGCTGTGAGAACCTGAGCCCCTTGAGGAACCATGAAGGCAGTGAGAGAAAAAATCTGCCTCCTCAGATAGAGGCAGGCCCAGAAGCAGCATCAGATGAGCAACTGAAGAAGTTGTCTTGAAGATGGATCCCCTAACAGCTGCTCCAGTGATGCCATGGATCAGAGAGGAACTGTCCAGTCAAACTCCTCCTGAATTGCTGACTCACAAATTGTTTATGTTGGCTGGCAGGGTAGGGAGAGCTATTTTAAAACTAAGTTTTGAAGTAGTTTTTTTTTTTTTCTTTCAATAGGTAATTAGAACTGTAAAGCAAATGAGCTAAGAAATTACCAAAGTTTGCATAGTTCCTAAATGGAGGTGTTGGGATTTGAACCCAAATCTGTCCCCCTATAAAGCTTCTCTGAACTGATACACTAGAAGGGCTCCTTGCCAATGTTGGCCATTTATTGTTAAAATATCATAATTACCACCACCATCTTAAAATTCTTGAGCTGAAATTTTGTTAAACACATATTTTAAGTCTGTAAAAGCACTTGGCACTACCCAGGAGATGAGTGGCATAGGACAGGACTTGCCTGGAATTCATGACCCAGGCGGAGAAGTCCAGAGCAGGATGGAGGAAGGCAGAGGCAGGTAG